TACAGTGAATGTGAATATACTATCAAAATATAGGGGGAAAGTCTCAAAAAGGATATATTAAAAAAATTAGTTTTAAAATTATTTTGGAGCATACTTTGACGTGTTTAAACATTTTAGAGATGACAGATAACTAGAACCAACACTAATATTTCAGACAATAAGTTCTGAAACCTGATGTTTCTGTCATGGTAATGGGAAGGATCTGAGGAGGATTTATATAAACATCTCAATGTTCCTTCCATAGTGATTTAGTCCCTAGCCCTGACAAAGTGACTGTTAGGCATGCATTTCTTTTAACCATCTCTAACTAGTGGGCTTCCCAGGTGGCACTAGTGGTAAAGAACCCGCCTGCCAATACAGGAAACTTAAGAGATACAGGTTTGATCCCTGGGTCGGGAAGATCCCCTGGAGGAGGGCATGGCAACCCACTCCAGTATGCTTGCCTGAGAAACCCCATGGACACAGGAGCCTGGAAAGCTACAAGTTCATGGGGCCAAAGAGTCAGACATGACTTAGCGACGAAACAACAATACAAATAGTCGTGTTACCTGCATTCCCTTATTTGCCGTAAAGCCTTGCCAAGTTCGTTGTTCTTCAAGCACTCAAGCATGGACTGGATGGCTGCCTCAGTGGATGTGAAGGTTGGCTCGGACCACGCCCCCTCGACATAAAGAGGGTCAGCTGCAATGGCTGCAGTGGCCTCCTTCAGGTTTTTCTTTAGGTCACTCAGTTCCCTGGACATATTTAGCAGCTGTTAAAAAAAAAAGTATTTTTACTATATTTAGTTGCAGGCTGGATTTTACATCCCCAATTAAAATTGTATGAGGTCTGGTTAAGCACAAGCTTAATATCTCAGTAAACTAAAAACAGAACTGATGGAACTGTACTGCTTGATATATGTAGGGCTAAGGGGCTGTATGCACTGAATAACTGTATCAACAGCTGGCACACTCTCCTTGTATAAAAGATTGACTCCTCCTAATGTTTTCTATTTAAGTAGAAGGGCACACATAGAGGTAAAATGCACTAGAAGAACAGGCAGGGGAGCTGGGTAAAGCTGGGTAGATGCCACTTCTGCATTCTTTACTACTACATGGTCAAGCAGATAGATTCTTATGTGCCTTCAGTGCTGTGAGACTGAAGATGTTATCCACCTCACAGCTTATTTAAACAGTTGGGCACATAAGTGCCCAATAAATGTAATCACGAATATGGACCTGTTTGAAGAATAAATTTTTATCCCTATCCCTATGCATTGGGAAAAGATGAAAGACATAATTTTAAGGGAGAGGAGGAAAAATCACAATGTCATGTTAGTATTCATCACAGAGGTAAGGATATTTTGCCTCAGATTCACTGGAACCAGAAGATCCTGTATTATTAAGAAATAAATCATAAAGAGAACCTATGTCACTTCTAGTGCCTCCAGGTGTACTGTTGAAGATAGCTGTATTGCAGTTTGACCTCAAGAGCATTTAAACAAAGAACAGATGTGAATTTAAAGGTTTTTTTCCCTTTCTAATGCAAACTGAGGATGCCTGTTTTCTTTGGGAAGTTGATTTACCCAACATCTTTGCCTTTCTTCATTCCCAGCTTGCTCACTGAACAAGCTATAGAACTGAAGCCCTCAAGGACAGTCTTCACGCAGATGCTGCTTAGACACAATGATACACTCCAGCCCCGGGCTCACAATTAAATGTTGTTGTTAGACTGTCTTAGACACACAGTTTTTAAGCTTGAAAGTGAATTTCTTATTTCAAATCTAGGTAAGTTTTAAATACTGTAGGCGTGTGAATATAGTCGCTAGGGTGAGCACCTCCCTTAGAACTATGCCAAGCTAGCCTCCCCTGGATCCTCAAGGCTGTCTTGCATTTTGTGTCCAGGTAGGTCACTTGCTTCACCCTAGTCCTGGCACCACCAAAGGAGCACGGAAATAAATATGAGACACTAGTGTTTTAAGACTCTTGCTTAAGTGAAATGATTATAAATGTTCAAGTGATTTTATTATACATAAACTGGTGGCAGGGGGGGAGAACAAAGGAAAAGCAATGCTGAGCTCATGGCAGGACCTGGGGTCAGGGGTGGGGGTCTCACCTCTGGCATGGAGCTGACTTCGTGCACCTGGCCGATGAGCTTACAGTAGGACTGAAAAAGCAGCAGCAGCTGGAAGTGTAGCTTATACAACCTCTGACACAGTTCCAATTGCTAAAGAGAGAATTTGTGTAGGAAGAAATAGTTACTAAGGATCATTCTTATATAGTTAGTGAAATCTTAGTGGAGACTAACATTTTTTCTTTTTAAAACAAGGAAGCGTAACTAGCTGTTACCATTCTAAATAACACAGAACAATAAAATCCAATCAATGAATATCAGTGAGAAATTCACAGTATAATATAGAATAAAACAAATCCTGGAAGATTACTAAATAGAATTAGTAGCTATAAAGGGACTTGGTGAACTGCCAAATTTCCATTATATTTGTCTATTAGATTTAATATCTACAAATTACAGCTGTAGTTGTGTTATAGCTGTGGTTGTGTTAATTTTTATAAGCTATATGTCTTTTAAAACATTTTCTTTTTATTAAAAGTATATTTTAAAGGCACGACATTAAGTGGTTCTAGGTGTCAAATTTTATCAATCCAGGAGACACTCGAGAGATTATTCCTTGTGACAATTCTGGCTGCCACTCAGGGTGCAGGCACAGATCTTAAAGTCTGTAAACACAGGAAAAGTCATGTGATTGTCTAAGGTTCTGTGCCAGTTTTACCGACAGTTTCTACTCAGCGCTCAATAGATACTTGTTGAATTAGATATAAAAAGGGCCCAAAGTGCTTACAAAAAGGAGAAATGATGAAAAGCATGCAAAGCTTTCTGTGGAAAGAATTTTTTAAAACTATTCCTACAAAATGGGGCTTCAGCCCTATACACACCTCTGGAATTGAAAATGTTTTCATTATACAGCATACATGTGCTGTAAAGTAAGGATAAACCATGAGTAATTCCAGCACCTATGATCATGACTACTGTTTAAGCTGTATCTGCTTAATGGCCTCTAAACTTTGCCTGTTTAATCCCAAGAAAGGTTTAGCTCCTCAGTAGAGGACGGGATTCTGCCAGAGGAAAAGGACAGCTTTCACCAGATAGAACTGCAGGGCTCAGCAGTCACCAGTGAAAGTGGGTTAAATATGTGGCTTAAACCAACACTTCACCATTCAAATGTGGTTAAGTAAGGATAAACAGGGCCTTTCTTTTAGTGTGTGTGTGAAAGTTGCTCAGCCCTGTCCAACTCTTTGTGACCCCATGGACTGTAGCCCACCAGGCTCCTCTGTCTGTAGGGATTCTCCAGGCAAGAATACTGGAGTGGGGTGCCATGCCCTCCTCCAGGGGATCTTCCCAACCCGGGAACTGACCCAGGTCTCCCGCCTTGCAGGTGGAGTCTTTATCATCTAAGCCACCAGGGAAGCTTAATAAGACTAAAAGAATGCAGAATTGAGAGCTGCTGAGGTGCTTAGGTGACTGCTAAGGTCACCTCAGCTGCTGAGGTGACTTAAAATTATTTTCCCCAGATCACTTTAAAGAGAGAAATGACAAGAATTAATTAGGTTTTTAGGAAGAATATTCCATTAATGGTATTAACATACATTTGATCCTAATTTTTAAAAATGACTCCAATTCGTGCTAAGACCATGCTGGATGGATTTTTTTCTTTCTCCTCTCTCTCTGGCCCTTAGGGCAGGGGGAAATTCTACTTGGATTTATGTGATCTCTCAGTGCTTATAACAAGCCTAAGTTTAAAGAAGTAGCTATACGCACTCATTAATGCAAATTAGTTCTTTGGTTGTTTTAGTAACACATTTTACAATGATTTAAACTTTTGTTTGTGGAAACCTTTCAAAATCAGGTATTAAAGACAACTTCCAGAGACTCTCAGATAAAAAAAGTATCATCTAAAAACAGAATGTTACCTTTCACAAGTTAGGGTGAAACCCAGCTGTGAAAACCCTGACTTTCCTGTGTCCAATAATGGTAGTTATTACTAAAAATACCCCACCCAGCGCCTGAGAGTTCATAGCAACATAAGTTTCTATTTGGGGAGGAAAGCAGCCTGGAATGCTAATAAAAACTACATGTCTTAGTCTACCAAATAAAAGAAAATGAAACAAAAAAGGGGAAAACATGCTAAGAGATATAATAGTCACAGTAAAAATAAGATTTGTTATGGGTCCATGCCTAAATGGACAAAGTATGAAAGAAAGTTAACTTACTGCAAAAGATTCCATTTGCTACACAGCAAGCATGGCACAGGAAACAAAGGAAAGGAAAGAGAGTACAGGGTCAGTGTACTGCATGCAACAGAAAGCACGGCCCTCTTCAAGAGCAGAGCCGTCCAGCAGTATTAGCATCGCTCGCCCCACCGTGAAAAATGCTTGCAAATGTTGTACCCATTCAACATGCACAGCGGTCCAGTTTAAGACAAGCTCTAATGGGAAACGTGTCATTGGAAAACATAATTTGTGATCCTTTAGATTCTCTGATTAGTTGCTTTAGATTCTGTTGGTCTTGGAGACAGTAAGCGAAAACTTGTACTGCTTGAAGATTTTAGTGTTTAAATGTGAATAACATGTAAATGTAGTAAAACTGTGAGGATGCCATTGGATTAATTTGGAAGAACTACCACCCCAAACAATCATTGCTAAATGTTAGTTAAGGCAGAGTCTTTAATGTGCTTGGCTCCATATCTACTGAACTATGACTACCTAATTAGCATATATATAAAATTAACAATCTAAGTGGCATTTTCTTTAGTCATATTGCTTTCCACATTGAGAATATCTGACAGGAGTGAGTGAAAGTCTCTTAGTCATGTCTGACTCTTTGCGACCTCATGGACTATACACTCCATGGAATTCTCCAGGCTAGAATACTGGAGTGGGTAGCCTTTCCCTTCTCCAGGGGATCTTCCCAACCCAGGGATTGAACCCAGGTCTCCTGCATTGGAGGCTGATTCTTTACCAACTGAGCCACAAGGGAAGCCCTCTGACAGGAGAGCTAGATATTATTTCAAAGGATTGAATGTTGTCTTCATCCTTCCGAACAAGTGTGAGCTATGACAAGTAACCTTGCATTTTATTTTTATAATTTTTCTCCCAGTAGTGAATTTCTAAAAGTCTTCTAGAACCAACCATTAAGTCTAGAAGAATATAAATTTGTATCTGGGCCATGTTCAACTACAGCTATCATATTTTTGGTGTCACCATATTGTAATCATAGACTTGTTAGGGAAGGTTTGTGTATGTGGCAAGAGATTACCACAACCTGACAGAACATTAAAAAAAAATCCACTTGGCCATTTCTAACTATGGGTCAATACATCTGGTTCTGGATTTTCAAAATATTTAAGGATCTTCTATTTCTAATCATTGGTAACAAAAACGACTTATTTTAAAACTCTTTCCAAAAAAACCTAAATTATCATCAGTTTAATATGTTGTACTTAACATAAGGTACAGTATATAAAAAATAAAACTATCATTATTATTAATAAAACTATCAAATTATTAGTATCTTCAAACATAAAGCATCATCAGTACCAACTCCCTTACCCCCTGCCTTCTAACAGTTTCCTCTTGTCTCACTGCTAGTAATACGTGTGGGTCTGGCACATTGATGACTGCTGTATCAAGTTTATTGAGTAGTTTTTTTGACCCTGGCTGTAAATACCTTTTAAATCTTTAAGCCTGTGATACAGATTATACAACCCAAGTTATTTACTATTTTCAAAAAAACTTTATAACCATTATGCTAGACATTTTTATAACCAAACCTTACATACTACTGAAAGACAGTCACACAAGAAAGGATTACAGGGCTAGTCTTAAATCTACACGTACAGAGTCTCCACTGTGAGGACTTTTTAGAAAACATCAAATTTGATTGAAACGTTAGTAAGCACCTTAGCATGTAACTGTTTCTGCCATGGAATTTACTTTCCAGAAGCATAGAAAGAAGGGAGTACTGAGCAAATTACAGGGTATTATGTGAAGAAACTTCTGTCTTTTTACTGGTTTCCAAAACAAGGTTGTAATCCCAGAAGGTCGTCAGATCAGCTAAAGGAAAACCTTCTCTGTTCAATGAAGGCCAGTGAGACTTTCTGACTCCAGCTTGGTGCTAAGGAATTTCTTTGTCAACAAATTCCTCCCACCTGGCACTCAGGGCACAAAATTGTGTTTCTTGGCAGCTGGCCAACTTGACAAACACCAGTTCTCAGAGTCCTTCTTACGCACTCCTTTTTAGGTAGGCTAGTCCAAGCTGAATTGATATTTACTATCTCAAAAATCCTTTCCTTGGCCTCAGACTGGGACCGACTTTGCATTTAGAGCTTCAAAAAGATAGTGAAAAATGCCTTTCAAGGAAAATGTTAAACTTTTTCCCCACCCTCTGCTAATATTTTCTGGTATCCAAGTTGTAAAAATAATCCCTTTAGAAATCTTTACAGATGTATCTGTTTTTGGTGATACAGGATTCTTTTGAAAATGTGGAAATGTCACTGTTTTATTTGGTCACAAGGATTTTCTTTAAGCCCTGTTCCTGTACACCTGATACGGCTTGATTTACTGAACTGGATTTAGATGTATGTTTTCTCAAAATGAGAAGAAAAATTAACTCAAAATATTAAGAACCCGTCATAGACAAGGTAGCTTTAAAGCCTAGACATCAGCAGTAGCACAGCCATTCTTGTTTCTCTGTACTCTGCTCTGAAAGGAGTGCTTTGCTTATGACAGCTAGTTAGGTGAAAAATCTAAGAATTTTTCTTTTTTTTTGGCATGCAGGATCTTAGTTCCCCAACCAGGGATCAAACCTGCCCCTCCCTGCACTGGAAGTGTGGAGTCTTAACCACTGAACCACAAGGAACGTCCCCCTTAGAAACTTCCGACATGTCAGAAGGTAAGTCACAGTATTACTGTTGATATATTAGCTATGGTTTTTACCATGTTTAATCTCTGAAAGTCACTGGTTTAAACTAAACTCGATAGAATATAGAAAATCTAGCCAAGTGTTGAAGCTTTCCTACTTTTGTGTTGCATGTGTCACTTCAGTTGTGTCTGACTCTGTGACCCTAGGAGCCCCTAGGCTCCTCTACCCATGGGATTCTCCAGGCAGGTGTACTGGAGTGGGTTGCCATGCCTTCCTCCAGGGGATCTTCCCATGCCAGGGATCGAACCTGTGTCTTTTATGTCTCCTGCATTGACAGCAGATTCTTCACCACTAGCACCACCTGGGAAGCCCACTCTGTGTTACCTAGATGCTTGTAACCTCCTGAGCGGGTAGAAACAATATGTTCTCACTGTTGCTAATATCACTTGGCTCTGGCACATTGATGACTGTTGTATTACATTTATTGAATAGTTCTTTTGGACATTTGTCATGAATATCTTCCAAAATTTTGAAAGGTAAATACGTTTAAACCTCTAATATAGATTGCACAGCTTGAAGTATTTACTTTTCAAGAAAACTTCCACTTCAGGAGGCATTTCCTTAGTCAGTCTAGAAAAGAGATTCCTTATAGAGAACAACTGACTATCTGAAGGATCAAGTTTAATGGGTTACAGTTTAGCTGGAGAAACATCTTGTCTTTTTCAACATTTAGCTTCTTGTTCAATCTGTAGAACAGAGGCTGCAGGCTTCTCCCATTCATGGATTAGGCAGGGATAGGAAACACACAACCAAGAGGGTTAGTGTCCAAGAAGATTCTATGATGATTTGAATGTAATAAGATAAAATGTAGTGGCGCTAAATGTAAATTACTGTACTTGAGTCCACAGAGTCGAGTGTTCAAGTAGTGCTCAGAAATGGCTGTGAAATTCCATGTCCATCAGCTCAAATCACTTACAGCAGATGAAGCGATGACCTCTGCAGCTTTCCCAGGGCCAGCTCTGCAGAACCAGGAGTTGACCTGTGCTAATTCACTGAAGGCTTGAGGCTGTGGCCTGGAGAGCCCAGAGCTGCAACACTTTACCCTGACCTATGTTTCTATGAACTTCAACTCCCCAGAAGCCACTCCACAATGAATTCCATGGGCAACGGAGAGGTCAGTGCTAGCTTTTAAGTCATGTAGAGATGTGTCTGTCTTCAGGATGTGCACAGGTGGAGAAAGCACTGGTAAAGCCATGTCTGGGACTCACACACCCGCCTTGTTTTACATCGTATTTACTGTGCGCTGTGCCTCATTCTAGAACTGGTATTATAGTCACCCAGTAGCCTAAAGTATTAACTAATCATGCCTGCCTTAAAAAAACAAACAAAAAAACACTTCTGTTTCAGAATCCTTCTCACGTATTAGAAGCACTTTTCTCAGGAGCACTGTTCTGTTTTGTACACGCACTAGGAATCCTCCTCCAAGGTTCCTTCCAGGAGGGAGCCCAGCATTCTGGCATTTGCGTCTTAGTACACAGAGATAGTTCTCACAGCAGCAAAGAGGAACACTGGCGTTTTTCTTGAAAGGCACAACTCTTTCTACTTGGCAGTCACTTCCCCATTTTGGGGCTTTAGGTACAGAGGCACATGTTCCTATCATAAAGAAAACAACATCGTGATGGTTGGCTGTTACCTGCAGGGTCAGGAACTCACTGCACAAGGATGGTGGAGAGCCACCAGCTCAAGGTCACTGCTGCCACTTTAGGAAGGCAGGCCTGGTGTTGCTATTTTTTTTTTTTTAATTTTAAGAGATGCCAGAAATGCTGTTTTGAGGGTATGTGTGAACAATTTCAAGTTTAAAATGTTGAGTCAATTAAAAAACTTGTACAAGCTGAATAAAACATGTCTGTGAATTGGTTATAGCTTATAGGCTACCTAAGTGTAAACTTTCCTCATTAATTTGATGTAACAACTTTACACTGAGAATAGACAAAAAATCAGAAAATATTCAACATCTAGAAAACAATTATATTCTCTTCCACAAATTCCACAGTAATTTCTCACTTTTGTCACCTGTTAAGAATGACTAGAAATCAGTTTGGCGTTATGGGGCAAGCCTTGGGGTCAGGAGATTTCACATGCCTGTCTGTACATGGTCATCATCTCTGGCCAACTGACACCTCTAACTGCTCAAGAGTTTGCTAGGTTTAGTAAGGTAAGCACCAATCCTTCTACAAAGTCCACACTTCTCTGAAATAGAATGTACACGTGGAGTAATTTCTGGCATGTTGACTTTGCAGTTTATATCCAGATATAATTTTATTTTCCCCAGACATAGATTCTTCAAGTGAAAGCTTACTTCCTAATCCCTGCTTCCATCTGTCCTCATGCAAAGAGGGCTCAGAATAATGGGCAACATCAAACTATTCCAGAAGACAGAGCGTCTGACTTAAAAAAAGAGAGCTGGAGTAAATCACTGGAGGATAAGTGGTGCTCTGAGGTCAAACATTTGTTGGGTTTTACTTTGGAATGGAAGCCAAATGGTAGCTCTAATTAGAAAAAATAATCTCCCACCAACTCTGGACATAAGATCAATATTTAAATGGAGCAACACCATCATTTCTCCACAAAGCTCACCTTGAAGGTGATTTCTCATCCTTTGAAGGCCCCACACTCTGACATGCTTTTCTCGATGTGATGTGGACATCTCTGCCTTGGCCAGTAAGTAGCCTCCTAACCTGTCTTCCCGAATCCTCGCTTGCTCACTACGTCTATTTCCACAGGAGTGTGGGAGAGCCCCAATCTAATCACACCCTCCTGTTAATAACTTTTAATTGGTTCCCATTGATGTCAGGATAAGCACCCAAGCCCTGCATGGTCTGGCTTCTGCAACTTTTCTCCTGGTCATTTCCTACCTGCCCTGCCACACAGGCTCCCTTCAGTCCTCGCAAAGGGTCATGTTCCCTGCCACTTCGGGGCCTTTGCAAGCTCGCCAAGCCCCTGTCCCCCACCCTGCGCCCCTAGCACACTCCAGCTCAGAGCTGAGATCTCTGCCTGAATGGCACCTCTGTGGAGAAGCCTTCCTGGAACCGCCCTCTCGTTAGGCCAGGTTCTCTGCTATATCTTTTCATAGCTCACTGTTCTCACCTATCCTTAATGGCACTTGTCTCAGTTTACACACATGACTGTTAACGTCCATCTCCCTGAATAGGTCAGAAGCTCTACCCAGGCAGAATTCACTGTTGTACCCACCATGGGGGCCACTCGGCATTAACTATAGAATGAGTGACCTCACGCTTTTCTGCTGCGTTTTCTTTACAAGGCGGCACACATTTATAAACCAGCTGGACTGAGGTGTGTACTTAAAGCAGATCTAAATGAGAAGAAAAATCTGAGTGATTGCTGAGAGGTCAACAGAGACTTTCTTCACTGAAAGAACTAAGTGGTTCAGTGAAGAATTAATGATTTTTTTTTCCTCTTTTTAAAATTTTTAATTGAAAGATAATTGCCCTACGACATTGGTTTTATATTTTGAATGAGGAACAGTTTTATTAGGAAAATGGTTAGTATAGTTAGTGTTCAGCAGAAAGGTTATTTTTATACTTCTGCTTTTCCAAAAAGAAGACCCTCCCCCACCAATCCCATCAACACACCATCATGCTCGGCTCTAATGTCATTCTTGCTTACTGTACAGGTCTCGTGTGAATGTATGGGATGATGCTTCCTCCCTCTTCCTTTTTCAAGTTCCACACTTCTTGGGTATATCAAAATCAACACACAAAGTCAGCACAGAAAAGATAAACTCTAACAGGTGTTTATTACCTTTTCCTCTGAGTCCCCTGGTTGACAGGTAATTACTCCATCTCTTGATCCTCCTGCAAATGTCGCCTTACAATTTGCAAGCCACTGTTGTCAGAAAGAGAGAGACATAGGTAAATTCAGTGGTGTCTGAATTTATGTTTATCATCAATTCTGTCAGGGAAAATATGATAGATTAAGTTTCTAATCACAATAAGATAAAAATTTTGCTGCAATGACTGTTTGAAAGTTTTTGGTTAAAGATCAACAATTTAAAATTAAAATACCCGTTTATATGGGTTCCGAGATGGCCATTTTAAAATTTCAACATTTATCACGTTATTGTTGTGATGTATCTACCCTGAAAAATAGTGTCACTAGACCACTCCAAATGTTTGTATAAATTAAATCCATATACAGTTAGAAACCTTTCATATGCCTGAGATTAGGAGACAGGGATGGTACATCTTCCCAGGCTGGGCCAGCCTGGGCCATGCAGCCTGGCTTTGTTATGTTGAGGCGGCTTCTATGGGGCAGGTCTATTTAACTGTAAGAAAGACCTTACAATAATAGCCCAGCTATTTAAAGATTATGCCAGCTTAACTATCTAGAATAGTAACTAGTATAGATGTGAAAGGAACCTTTGGGTAGAAAACAGTAAGCACTGAAGAGCTGAAACTCACACTTGATATCAAAAGACTGGCTTATTCACCAACCAGAATTAAAGGATTACTTTTATTATCTGATGCCTGAGAAGCTGGAAAACAGTTGACAGTGAAAGAGCTACAGAAATAGAAGACAAAGGGAATTTTCTGCAGCAGAATGTCAGAACTCTCTCTTTGACAGTCATGGAAATAAATAAAAAGAAACAAAAACCCAGGAACTTAAGAATGCATGTCTTCTGTGTGTGAGGTGCTTGTGCAGGGCAGTTTACATACACTATTTCTATTTCAAAGGCAATATTAAGTTGTAGTTAACAGCATGAACCTTTGAATCCCACACACCTGGGTTTAAATAACCACTTTTCTACCTCCTAGCTAATGGGAATAATAGCAGCAACTCCCAGGGTAGTTGCAAGCATTACATGATTTGAGAGAGATAACTCTTACCAGGTTATTGGATATATAAAAAGGACTCAGGAAAATGACAGCTGCTGTGACTATTATAGCATATCACTGTCTTATAGATGATGAATCTGAGATGACAGGAGGTTAAGTAACTTATCCAGGGTTACTAACCCTTAAGAAACTGAGCTGCCGTTTGAGTTCAAAGTCCATCTGACTTCAAAATCCACGATCTTTTTATAATGCCTGGTCTATGATGGGAAATGCTCCCTGGAAATTACACAGAAGTATTTGTTGGAAATCAGGAGGTCTGCATGGATGGTTTCTGAATCACTTCTGTCTGTAACATTTTACAGTTTACATCTTTGAAGGAAGGAGGAAGAAAAGAGCAGGAGCTGAGGCCAAGAGAAACCACGGTGATGAGGAGAAACAGCTACTGAGAGTGGTGGAGAAGAGAGGTGAGATCCATCTCAACCAGTTTTGGGTGAGGCAAACACTGGAAGGACGTAATTAACAACTTTATTAATAAATTTCTGAGAAAAGAGAGGTTATAATGTTGATAAAGTGATACATTGAACAGATACCCACTTTCCCTAATTTCTTGGTTAGAAAAATTATAGGGCTAAGATTGGAAGCTGAAAAATTTCTTTTTTGTAGGTATCATTTTTATATAATCCATACTATTGATAGTTCTACCACCATTAAGTTGGAAGACTAGATAAGTCTGTCTTCTCCCAAAAGGGCCTCTCTTGTGTTATTCACATCCCCTCCCAAGAGCTCATGGTGGTTGGATTCATTCAGTGTTAGTGAAACTTGTATGCACAGAGACACAGACGCTTACTGAGAGAGTGGCCTCTTTCCTGTTGTTGTAGGTATCCAAATATTCTTGCAGTTCTAAAACACTGAACTTGAGCTTGTCCAGAAGTCCACAAGAAAGGAGCTAATAAAGACAGGAAAATAATTTGTATTAAAATAACTTCCAGAGAGACACCTAGACAAAGGCATGGCTACACAGAGAGAAAAGAGAAGTATATTTAGATGTAATACAGAGTGTGTTGGGGGTGGCATCTGTTTTAATAACCTGTACAGTTTGTAATTTTGCTCCACTCTCAGAAGCAATTGCACTTGAATATGACTTGCTAATTTAAATTTCCTGTGAAGATACCCATTTCCCCCATATCAGTTTAGATAGACAAATCTTAACAAGCATTCTACAGAAGCCTGCATTAAGAATCGACATCCATTTTATGCATGGACTCCAGTGTCTTCATCCATTAATACTCCAGGAAATGTGAAGACAGACCTCCAACTAGGTCTTTTTATTTAATTTGCACTTTAAATCATTTAAGATAGAAAGATTTCTCATATTGTATTCTTTGCTACAAGACAGCCAACCACTAATCAAGTTCCTGGAAAGACTGACTCTTCAGAGACTTTCAGAAGTGAAGCACATCTTCATTGTCTCTAAACCCCAGTAAGTACTGAGCAGATGAGATGGTTCTGTGATATGCATGGGGGATGGAAAGAGGTGCCCCTCTCCCCTACAGAAAGCTTGCCGGTCTTGGAAGGTTAGCATTGTGTTTATATAGTCACGATTCAGCAGTCAGCCAGCGACTATTTTAATCATCCTTCAAACTCATCATCTGCAGTGGGGCTGGATGAATCCAGCAAGAGGGTAGGTGGTCTCTTGGAAGAAGAGAAAGTGATGACATGGTGCCTCTGGGGACCCATCCAGCTGGCTGACCTGGCATCATGGGGACTGGCTAGGGTTGCTCTGAGAGGTTAGCACACCATGTTCACAGCCTTTAGGGTCATCAGAGAGAAGCACCATGGACACAGAGGGGGCACAGGGCTGGGGGGTTGAGGGGGGGTCTCTTCCTGATCTCCTGCAGTGACGGCCTCGGCCGGCCACGCACAGCCATTCCTGTGCAGACCCAGGCCTTTGGGGCTCCCATCACCACACAGCGCTGTTCACAAACACTGGAATTGTCTTTCCAACAAACTGCAATTGCACACGTGCTTCCCTGAAGTTCCACACTGTCAGCTGGGCAGGCAGTTGACCCCGGGAGTAGGCCTGGGATACTCACGGTCTCGGCGTCCACGAAGAGCGTGGGGCACTCAGAGCAGGAGGTAAGCATCTGGGAAGAGCTGACAAACTTGGATCCGATGCCCCGGAGGTTATCGCCAAGGTAACTGGCTGCGTCACAGGTTAGGAAGCAGAACCTTTTCTGAATATTCTGAAAGGCAACATAATCACTATTTGTAAAGGCCATGTTTTAACTTAGGCACTAGGAAAAAACTTTTTTAATTCTTAGGAAAATATCAAATCAGCACAGGTCCTCCATGTAGTGGCAGGGGTGTGTTGTGTGTGTGTGATAGGAACAGAGTGACTGTCTTAGGTGAATAGTGTGTGTGTGTGTGTGTGTGTGTGTGAGATAGGAACAGAGTGACTGTCTTAAGTGAATAATCACCCAGTGTGAACTAAGTTTCTTTCTAAAATGTCATTTCCCAATGTGTGGATGCCCATGTATCTTTTAAATAAGTGCTGCTTTGCTTTTTTGCTGATAGCCAGTGCCAGCCAGAATCTTCTGCCTAGCATGTTTGTCAGATGAGTGAGAAGTTCTGAGATTACTTCAGTGTGGGTGAGAGGAAAAAGGTCATGAGATATGACTCCTTTCTATCATTCCCAGATCACAGCTCCCAGAGACAGGAGGACTAAAACAGAGCCACAAAGTCTCTGAAGAAAGAAACAGTAAGTTCTGTGTGGGACCTGTCTCCCTGAGAGCTTTGCACATGTCACCTCATCAGGGCTCACAACCAGGTAAAGAATTGGAGGTTAAGAGAGGTCAGAGGACTGGAGATCATGCAAACAGTAAGTGATGGAGAAAGGGTTCTAAGTTCACATCCCTTCCATAAGTGATAATGCTTTGTAAACGTTACTATTCCTCCTATACTGCCTGAAGAAAAACCGTAATTAGGAAGAATCTGACTCGCGGGGCCTGTGTCAGTGACAAAATGAGAACACTTTTAGCCCCAACTTCAAACTCAAAATATCTTTTAACAAAAAGAACAAAATATTTAACCAAAAAATAATTCTAGGCATTGGCTTTCCCCAAAGAGATTGCATACCTTTTGAGTTGGAGAATCTAATCCACAAGAAATCCGCTCTGCCCTGCTATGGGGTACTTAGCAGGTCCCCCAAACAGCAGCAGGCTCTTGGTTCCTTATCAGTTATACTAGATAAAAATGCCAACCATGCTGCATATTATTTTTATTTAATATATCTAAGAATCTTGTCATAATGCATAACATTATGTCTTATGGTGGTGTTAGTTTTATGTGCAATTTAAAATACTTGACAGAATACTGCAGCTGAGAGGAGCAGGAAATGTCATGTATCACACAGCTATTAACAGGTGACTGGCAGAGTGAGGAGGAGGAGCCAGGTCCTCCAAGAAGTTGGGTTCTTCTCTCTCACCCAAGGATATGGTGAGACCTGGGTTTACATTTTATTGGACTGAGAGGCTGGGAACTTCAGAGCCACCCATGACTTCCATATAAAAACAGCATGTGATTTGGTGACATTGTGCACACAAATGACAATATTCTAACCCAGGAGCACAGGGAGGAAATAGACTGATGGAGACACTTGGAAAGCCATCCCTGCTGGCCCATTAGAAACCATTTCCTTGTTTTTAAAAGCAAAGTATTTTTGCAGTTAACCTCCTCTCTACTCTGTCTATTTCCACCAAATACAGGGAAACATGGTGTCCAGACCCACAGGGAAATATTGGGAAACTAAGTAAACAGCCCCAGTGAGGATCTGATGAAAGAACAGTAGACTGTGTGTCTGAAATGTGTTTCATTTCCAGCATATTGGAATAGCAATTTTGCTCTCAATCGCTGAACATTTGATGGTAGCTGAGAAAGTTCTTAAAGACAAATGTAATATTAAAGAAAATAGGAGAAACACAATTTATATTATTATTATTGCAGATAAATGTCTTAGGAATTGATCCAGTCAACTGATAAAAAAAAAAATATCCAAACTCCAGTGTTCCTCCCAGTACCCAGCCCCATGTCCCAGCTCACATGACAACCTGTTGCTATACTGGCATTAAGTGGAAACTGTACATTTGAGATTTACATTAAAAAAGGTTTTTTTCCTACTGCATTTACTGAGCACCTATTGTGTGTGAGCCACTGTGCTAGCCACTGGAATCAAAGCCAAACACCATTACCTGCCCTCGCCCGCAGGAGATAGACACCTAAACAGGTAATTCTAACAGAGTGTGACAGATGCCTGGGATCCCAGGTCAGGGGTGCAAGGGGAGAAAGAGCTAAAGGAAGGCCTCATTCATGGAGCTGCCGCCCCATCAGGGATCTGTATACATTGGGAGCACAGCTGAGGGAAAACAGGAAGTGATGGTTCTCAGCAGAAGGAAAAGTACTGCTCAGGACTATAAAGTTGAGCGTGCAGTCTAGTAACTGTAGTAAGAGGATCACAACAGCCAGACTTAAATACACATGATTAACCATTACTTAAACACAGACTTTAGAACAATATAATAAATTACATTGTTTCCTGAATCTTTACAAATTTACCTCAAATGGTAGATTTGGGATAGTTTGTTTTTAAATTTCAATCTGGCTTAATGTTAGGGTGTTTCTGGATTCTTATCTTTCAGCAGCCCATTGCTTCCTGTTTTAAGGCTAGCAGTCCCTCCAGCCCCCAGTTCATCTCAGACAGGTCTCATGAAAAGTAAACTGGAAAACTTGAGAGTGGGCCGCACAAATAACAGAGAATATGGAGACACTAGCTATTAGTACTATTGGTATACACTCCTCCAAGAATGGAAGGGCCTCCAGGCTCAAAAACTGACTTTACTTTTATATTAACTAAATTATGGCTTCCTGAATTTGAAACTATTTAAAGCAGATAATCCCATTTTTTTTCCATTTTTCACATAATTCCTTATTTTCCTCTCTCCCCCTTTTGCCATGGTTCTTCCTGAAGGTGATCAGGGGGCCCACTCCTCCATCCAGCACAAGTTACTGTGCCTTTTCTCATGATGTACTCAAGAGAATCAACCTCTCAAAAAGTGTCACAGGCCGGCAGGTTGAAGGAATTCATGGTGAGTGGGAATAAAACATAAGGGAAAAGCAACGAAGAAGGAAGAGGTACAGCAGAGGTCGGAGTGGAAAGAAGAGATGGAGAACGGGCTTGGTTGAAGATACCCCCTGTGGTCCTGAAGGCCTGGCTGCCTGCCTGGGCCTGAGGATGCCAATGAAAGCTGAAGGGGCCAGTGAGGATCACGTCCCAGTGGCCTGAACTACCGAGCACAATGTCTCCATGATGAATGGAAGAAAGGATGAAGTCAGAGGAAACTGAGGAAAAAGTGCAGTGTAAACCCAGCGCTTCCCCTCTCAGGGCGAGGCCAGCTGGCTCCCTGAAGAGCTGGCGGCTGTGGAGCCTTTGTGGGCAGCGTACCTTAAACAGGGAGGAGAAGACGTGGAACGTGTACACAGCACAGGAGCCATCCGAGTCGCACATGAGCTGGTTGATGTGGCTGCGCCAGGCCTCCTCGGCGTCGTCACAGGCCGTGGGCTGAAAGGCGGCAAGGATGGCCGAGAAGAAGGGCGAGGGAGGCGGCGACACTCCCCTCTCACCTTCCCCAAAGCTGGAAAAAAACGCAGACGACAAAGTCAGGAGTGGCGTCCTCCTTACCTTTGCTGGCAGTGTCGGTTCTCACCCGAGGCACCCCTCCTGCCTGCTCCTCTTGTGAGGGTTGCTTCGGGAGCCTGGCTCTCAGTCAGAGGTACCGAGATTCTGATTCTAGAAAAGAGAATTTTTCACCTCTAGAATTCCTGTAATTTCTGGGATTCCCCAACTCTGATTTCCTTTATACAGATATGGGACCACTTTTTAGCCTTCAGCAACTGACCCTCACTTTCCTACTGGCCTTTCCCCAGACACAGGGCACATTCACTCCTGTGCTTTGACCCATTTCAGTCTTTTTCATTTTTCACTTTAAAAAAAAAGAGAAAAATTTTTAATCTTTTCACTTTTCCTTTGTAAAAGGAGAGTAATAGTGGGTGCATACACATAAATGCTTAGGAGAAACAGGGCAGAGAAAGGAAAGCGAGAGAAGAGAAATTCACAGTAAGACAGAGGGAAACAAAGAAAGGAGAGGAAAAATAAATGAACTGAAAAGTCAACACCACTTCTCTAGGTATCACCCTAAGCTGTTTCTCTGACAAAAGGATATGCGTCACCATAACAGAAAGCCTCTGTCAAGCCACATCAGAAGCAGTGTTCAGAGGAGTGATTTTAGGATTCTGACTTTCTTCTCCTGAAGATCTGTAGCATTATTTGTGATTTATTCTAGATGCCACATTAATGTTTTTTTAAAAAAATCTATTCCTTTATATGTTTCCTGTTTATAGTCTCTGACTAGATCTTACTTGTCTCAGAAATGTCAGTCTCGAAGCTGAAAACCACCCACTTAAAAAAAAAAAAAAGTAGGTATGTAGCTTATAAAGGGACTCTTGTTCTGGTCTTTTAACTCAAGATGGGAAGAACTCCATTTCTAAGCCTTGCCAAGCTTGCTTATCTTCAAAGCTTACAAGGCGTGGACCATGTCCCCAAGGGCTCCTCTCTGGCTTTTTATGTTATTCCAGGGCTTTAGGGCTTCCCTGGTGGCTTAGTGGTAAAAGAATCTGTCTGCAGTGCAGGAGATGCGGGTTCGATCCTCGGGTCAGGAAGATCCCCTGGAGAAGGAAATTGCAACCCACTCCAGCATTCTTGCCTGGGAAAATCACATGGACAGAGAAGTCTGGCGGGCTACAGTCCATGGGGTCACAAAGAGTCAGACATGACTGAGCGTCTGAGTATATTATTATTCCAGGGCTCTAAGAGTTCCTATAGGCATAGCCTTTCTGGTTCTGCATGAGGCCCTACACTGGAGCTGAATGATTCCTCACTGGTTGACAACCTTCCAAGTCATGTCAGCTTGGACTCCTTTGTGAGGACGTCCCAGAGGCACAAGCCTGGCGTTAAACTGGAGTTAGAGTGAACCCAGTGTGATGTGCCATGTACACCCTTTACCTGGCAAGAGTGAACTGGTCCAGCACTCGGTTGCCTTTTTCTTCTGCTTCAGTCATATCCAGGCTAAAGCTGTCGCTGCATTCAAAAGTGGCCGGGAGTTCATTGATGGAGCTGGAAAGGTCATCCTCCTGCACGGTGGCGTCCTCCTCTTCCTGGACAGCATCGGCCTGGGAGCAAAGGAGAGAAAAGAATCCCCCAACATGTAAGGATATCCAGAGGCAAATCTGAAATCCAGAGAACAATGGAAATTGGGGTCATCTGTCTTCTAGCTCCGGCATAGTCAATTTGTATAACTGAACTCAAGAATTCTCTGAAGCACTGTTCTTTATCTTCTTTTCAGCCTTTTCTGAGAGAGTTACCAAAGAAGCTCTCAGAAGATTACCATATTTGATCCACACTTAAGGAGTATAAATGCTAAACATGGAAGCGATGCCCTGGGTCGGACCCCCACTTTCAAAGATGAGGAAGTAGATGCTCCACACAGGAAAGTGAAAGTGAAGTCGCTCAGTCGTGTCCGACTCTTTGAGACCCCACGGACTGCAGCCCACCAGGCTCCTCCGTCCATGGAACTCTCCACACAGGAAAAGGTCGTGCCTAATACCAAGTATGTAATCAGACCCAGAGCTAGGGCTGGAGACACCTATCTCTGGATTCAGAGCTCTCTTTGTTGTACAAGCCCAGTCTTCTAAAGCAAGTTACCTGGAGTTAACTCTCCAGTATATTATATAATTTGTAGTATGTCCAATGTTACCAATGGAAACTAGAATTTAGAATCATCAGTGCCTGGCATAGTAAAGGCTCCTGAAGTCTCTGCCATGCCCATGAGTGACCCAGAGCTATTCATTGAGCCCCCCTCGTTGACAGGCCTTCCATACTGAACATCCTCTGAGCTCCACATACATATATGCTTCACTCTTGGGAATATCCCCTGAAGGCAGCACATATGCGTTGCTGTAAAATGTAGAATGAGCAGGGAGATGAGACGGCTCTAGGGCAGCAGAGCTGGGACCACTGAGAGGCAGGAAAGAGACTGGCAGGTCAAATGGAAAAAGAGGCTGGGCTTGAACCCAGGCCAGAGGGGAATCATCTGGAGGACCAATTGTTCTTCAGGAGAGGAAGGAAGACAGCCTGACCACAGAACAGAAGAGGAGAGGAAGAAAGCATGTGTACGTGGTTCCGTGAGTCATTTTCTTAAAACAAAGACAAAACCAGGGCAAAATAGGCATATGAATTAGAGCGTTACCACGGTTGACATCTGGCTGCCCCTTCAGTATTTTGAATCTAGGATTAAATAGGGAAATTAGGAATGTTTACAGATATGTTAGGGAAATAGGTTATCTCATGTCTTTGAAGGAACTGCTTATAAATACTGAATTTCAGGGGCTTATCCATATCTGTCTCTTCCTGCTGTTTAAAATTAGACTGGTGCCAACGAGACTGCTGACTGGTCTGGGTTATTAATGTATATAAACTTTTAGGGACAGGCTGAGATCTTATAAAAACATCTTCTGTTTTCTCTTTCTAACATCACAGATGTATCAAATTTTGCAGCAGCCCAGCTGATGTAAAAAACAGAGATAGCTTTTCAGAAATTAAACTCAGCCTTGCCCTGATAGATTTGTGTGACTCCATGAAAATATTATTACTTAGGCAGTGCTTTGTATGAGAAATCTATATAACTTAGCATTCAAAATAGAAAAGTTGACTGTTGCAAGACTGTGAAGTAACAAATGCTAATAATAACTTCACATTTATTTTGTGATGTCCTTTCCATGAAGTTTAATTTCAAAGATTCTGGCATTTTAATCTCAGACAGATTTCCTTTCTGGTCCCCTTTTTGGCTAAAAAAGGATTCTGCTAATTCTCAGAATCCTGGTCACAGTCCTTTTGTAAGGGGGAAGTCTTAGAAATAATTATTTTTTAAGCTTCAATATTTTTATGTGATTGCAGTTTGGTTGGTTGCTCTTGGTTTACAGTATATAGGTTTTGCTAGATCTCATATGCGTATTTAGTACACTGTATAAGGATACAGAATAGCCAGTATTATATTTTTCTGTAGAAGCATCAGAAAGAATATACTTCTATAAATTTGTTTTCTATGTATTTTTTCCTATTTTCTCTTTTAAACTTACACCACCATAACCAAACTCTAAGATAAAGAAAACTTTAATCCTAATAGCAATAGGCTATTTTAGTATGTCTAATATAAGAAAATAAAGTTCTGTACTAATGGCCATTTATGTGGGTACATATGTGAACACAGTGTGGAAGTTGATAGTTTTATGGACAAAATGGCTTATGCAAATCAATAAAATAAACCTTAGATGAAATACACATTTTTAGGTTTTTCTAAAAAGCTGACCTTTTAAATAAGGAAATTCTATCCATTACTTACTTTTCTCGAGAGCTGATTAAGACAGTTTTGTGCATAATACTGTGATTGATACTGAAATTTGTAGCCCAACAAAAGGCAAGAATGCAATCAATTTGCAGCCTGTATAATTGGTTCCTACATTGGAAAAAATTTCCCCCAATCTATGAATACACCCACACCTCACTTAACAGATTGTTTTATAAAAGTCATGACAAAGAACATCAGTTTCCCTGTCTCAGCCATCTCAGACATCTGTTTTGCCATTAATCAGCAGTGTTTGTGCTCTATGGAAAATGCAAATGTTTCATATTAAAAGGACCTCAAATCAAATCTCCTTCAACCAACAAGAAGATGTCTGCTTAGGTCTTTTGAGAGTAAAGCAATTCAAAACCTAGGCTCAGGGGCACTAACAACTATTTCAGAAAAGAAAAAGATAAAAGATAGTCCCTCCACTTATAACCCGCTAAGAATGCTCAGAAAATTGGAAATACATTTTTTTGGGAAAGAAAACCATAACCAACAATTGCCAAAATCTCTTCACCTTTGAACCCTCAGAAATCTGAAGATTATTCATATCAGGCAGAGCAGCATCAAAGCTAGCCATCCTGGTGTTAAAGGAGTGAGGGTCAGCAGGGGTCAGATCGCAGGTGGTTGTGAGTGATTCCATGGGGTTAGTCTCCTCCGAAGGAGAGAGATTCATGATCTGTTGAGAAAGCAAAGGAGACACAGTGTCATGTGACGTTCCCATTCTTTACAAGCTCTGATTACTTTTTACATAAGAGTACAAACCAGTGTATAAACTGGTTGCTAGTGGACAGGTACTAACTGTTGAACATATTAATACATACTTCACTGTCATTAGAACTTAAACACCGCAGCTGGCAAGGCCCAGCACTGTGAGACACAAAGACCCCTTCTCTTTCCAGAAAACCCCATCAAAATATCTGTCTGATTTCCTCAAACTTAAGATGTTGAAGGAATTTTTTTTTTTTAAAGAAAGAGTTCAGCATAATAAGTTATGTAGGGAAAATCTAGGCCTGAACAAATCTGATGGCATTCTGGGCTTATGAAACCCCCAGCATTTGTCTCCATTTGCACTCTCCAGAGAAGAAGCTGGTTAGAATCAGGCCCCACTCAACAATCTCAGGTTTGTTTGGCAGCTGTGGGAAGTTTCTTCAGCTGCAACTGCAAACTGCCCTGCTGCCTGAATGACAAAGAGCAATCTCCCAGTTTCTTGGGAAGAAGAGGTGGAGAGTTCCTACTTACGAGGTCAGAGTGCTCCAGGATCTGGCTGGTGGTGAGGTCCTCCTCCTCAGAGGACTCGTCAGAATCCTCGTGGTTCATTTTATTGAGGCTGGGAGAGCTTCCTGAGAGCTGGCGCTCCTCCAGCAGCTGCAGGTCACACTTGTCCAGACTGTCCAAAGAACGCCTGCGGACTCCCCAGTTGAAGTTGTCCATACTCTCGCCCTGAAATCACACCGTCAGCTGCTTTTTAAGGCCAGAATTCTCCCGCATGTACAGCTTCACACATCTGATCAGTCATAGCTTAGCATCAATATTTTCATTATGAACTCTCAAGCCCTCACCTCACGGACATGGGCACCAATGATTTTGCTTACGTGTTGTGAAGAGTAGTAAAACAGCACACTGTTTTCACCTAAATGCGTGTTAGGTCAGATAGATGTGATCATACACACCACAGTGGGTAACACTGTTTTACAGGTTGATTTGGGGGTACTCTTAAAGAACCATGTTAACAAGCTATCAGAAAGAGACTGTTGTTATTAGAGCAACTTCAACAGAGGTGTTCCTTACCCACTCCCTGACCCCCACTGTTTAGTACTGTTGTCCAGAGAACAAAGTAACAGCTATGCTTGTGGCATAGTCCACACCTTCTTGGTATTAAGTCGAAGAGCATTAGGTACACATTCCAGCCTGTTTCTGCCGCAGCAGTTTTCACAGATAAAATGCAGAGTTAAAGGATGTCAGAGAGCAGCTGGGCACAGTCAGACAATCATGCATGATGCAGAGGCCAGAGCAGCAAGGCTTCAGTTTTGCTTTAGGCTCATCTTTAAATAATTGTCCCAACACAGGAAACAGTTTGCTCCCTGGACCTGGATGGACTGACCTGGTACCAAGGACTGTTGCTGAATTGTACATGTGTACTGAGAACTGGGCTAAGTGGCAAGGTAGAATGTTACAGAAAGATTTCAGATATATCTCAGATTGTCTCTACAAATTATCATATATTAAGTAAGTTTATTTAATTGAATATAACTTTTTCCCCCTAAAAACAAATCTGGGTTTTATTTCTCTCTCCAGGAATAAAGCAAGAGAAATATTACTCACCCACTGGTGAGCAAATTTGAACCTAAACCAAACAGATTAGTAATCTGAATACAATCTAGCACAGAATCTTATCATTTACATTAGTCATTTGAAACACAGATGGTTCACTGAAATAAACTTTCTGATGAGAGCTCAGTAAATAGCATAATCATATAATTTCAGGGAGAGATGTAAATTACTATTAAAATTAATGAGTTTTTCCCTCAGGTTTTATGGGTCTATTTTTTTTGGTTCCTAATAAAGTAAAGCCTACCATTCTCACAGATCTCTGGTATAATAGATGCTTAGCTTTTCAAAAGTCTGTTTTGGCTATTCATGGTGGAAGGCAACGGGTAAGAATCCTGAACACATTCTGGATATAATGTGGAAATTATCATTATTCACCCCATTTATGATTATCCTTAGGACTGTTTGATCATACAACTCAGTATTTGATTTCTATAGTTTATAGCTCTATCTGTACCTTTTATCTGTAACTACTGTGATACATTACCACCAAATGATTGTTTTTTTCTTTCCTGGTAGAGAAGGCTTACTATTGTGCTGGTATTTTAAAACAGCTGTTTCAGGGAAAGAATGAAAAAAATGTGGAAGAGGCAAGAGTTCCAGGAAGAAAAAGAAAACACAGTATTGAAGAAATAAAGAGGGTAAAGAAAAATGAGATTACAAAACAGAGAAAAAGGAATGTGACACTTACTGGGAGAAATGTACAACTGTGAAACAATTTCACAGAACTGATTCTCTTGCACTGAATCAATGGATGGACTGGATGAACTGTCTCAGGCAGCAATTCTGGAAGTCCCCCACCCTGAGCCTGGCTTGCACTGAGCTGGCAGAGAGATATATCCATGGCCAGAGAGTGCTACACCGGGCACGGAGTGCCACTGTGTTGATCTGACCACAGTTCAGGTGAAGACCTGAATCAGTCAGGCATGGGAACTGGGAGTCAGGGAAGCTGTTCTCGCAGGGATGGTATTTGGTGTCTTGCTGGGGGATGCAGTAATTGCACTGGAGGCAAGGATGTTGAAACCGTTTCCCTAGTGGTGGCAGAGGGGTTGAGAGCAACAGTAGCCTGGCCTGTGTTGGAGTCTGTGGTGATTAAAAGTCCACCAGGCCTTGTCACAGCACAGGACTACCCCTACTGGGAGAGCTGCCTTTCAGCCTCCCTACACCCAGATGTCATGTTTGTATTTTATGTCACCTTTGGGGTCAAAAGCCAAAACTGTTTGTGTGAGAAGACTGAGAAGGTGGCTAACTGTCCTTGATGGACAGTGTGCATATGTCAGTTATCACACCTAAAGAACCACTCAGGGTTCATACCGAGATGAGAAAATATTCACAATGGAACACTCTAGAAGTGTTGGAAGTAATATTCATTGATACTGGAATACCAAAAAAAGAATTATTGTTGAAGGAACTTAGAAGTCAAAACATGTTCCCCCAAATGACCCTACTCAGACTTAAGCCTATAAGACATGGATCTAGTGTGCTCATAGGTCACTTTGTCCAGGATAACACTGGCTTATGCCTGTTGTCTGGGTGTAATTATTACCAGACTCCTTTTTAGTTGCAAAAGGGTCCTCACTTGGATAGTCACTTACCCTACAAAGATAGCTCTTAATTCCTAGAAAATAAAAGCAGTTGATTGGAAGTGGGTGTGGTGTATTGTTTAGATAAAGCTTGTTGATTTCACTTTTAATAAAATAATTAAACCACAAAACCAAACCATTCCAGTTGTACAGCTGCCTAATGAGAAACTATAGGATTTCTATGGATTATACTTAAAAACTCACCTTCCCTCAAGAGAGAAAATTATGCAACTTCCAGAACTAGACATATAAAGATTTTAAAACTACATTTTAAAATGTATTTATACTTTCAGAAAATATTTTCTCCCTAGAGCAACCAAGAAAAATACTTCTATCACACACATCTCAATATAAATGTACAAATAGGCATACATACTCTCCAAGGGGAGAAAAAGCAATTATGTTGTTATAAATCTGCAATGATGCAAAACACCTACTAGCATATCTGAATTGAAAATAGCATCATCTTACCTGAAGTTCCTGGGTAGCAGATTGAATGGACAGAAAAACAAATAAGAGGACTATTTAAAATGATTATATTACAGATACTCAAGTGCATTTGTCTTAGTTTTAACACAACAGCAACTAACAGTGCTAACAGTATATACTTCAGTAGAGGCACCTTAAAAAAAAGGCAAAGATACACAAACCCCAAAGAGAAGAATTAGTACCAAACACCGGAAATTCCAGATCTCTTAGCAGTGGATGATGTAGCTGAAAACAAATCATAAATACAATTTCCGAAATAGCTTTCCACTTCAGTGACAACTTTGGTCTGTCTCCTCAACACTTTTTTTTTGGAATGTCTAAATTTTTATTTGTGAGAAAACTGTGAAATGTCATGGAAAGACTAATGAGGGTCATCTGCTGGGGGAAAAAACGTGGCATCACCTGATCCTGCCCACAAAAGCAGAAGTGTTTGTGATCAGGCTCTGTTTCACTGCTGAGGTGCAATTAACAGCAAAGACATAGCACCCTTTAAGGATTCTGAAGAGTTCAAAGGCAAACTGTTAAAGATTTAGTCAATACATTGATACTAACGAAAGGGAATAAACATGACAAAAACCTTGTCTGTCTTTTTTTATAAATGTGTTTTGATCTAGAAGCCAAATGTGCTTACCTTTTGCAGAAGAGGAAATACTGAAATTATTCACCAGTGACAGTACAAAGGAACAGACACTTAGAACGCCTATTCTGTGCCCGAAATTATGTGAAAAGCTTTACAGAGGTCACCTTACTTGATCCCTCACATCAACTCTACAGGCAGGTATTATCATCCCCATTTGATAGATGAGGACGCCAAGAGAAGCTACTTCGAGGCTTAAACTGGGTCAGAGATTGAGCTAAAATCAGAACTGGACCTGCTTTGACTATCTGTGACTCTGTAAGCAGGCTAGAATCCTTTATTGTAACCTTGTGGAGAAGTAACATTCTCAAATAGTTTATTTTATTTGGATAAAGTACATACTGTCACACTCTTGTGTTTCTTATAAAATCATAATCATTTGTTTTCAAATGATGAGCATCTAAGGTTTTCCTTATTTTGATAGAAATAAGTCAGTTCTGCAGTTGTGTCTGATTCTTCCACTTGATAGCATTCCTGCCAGATCCCTTCACGTAGCCCATCTGTCTTTGTATGAGACTGAAAAAAAATTATGCCTCTCTTGTTTCATCAATTTTTTCCTCCTTAGTTTAACTTACAGAGTGAAAAGGGTACTATCTAAGCTTGAATTCTAGCCTGAGAGCAAAGATGAGGTCAGTTGCCCAAATCAGGAAGTTATTAATCTTTTGACATTCCATATACCTCTAGCTCATTATGAAAATATTCAAAACAGCTGCATTTTGCATTGCACTTTTTAAACAGTTCTCACCACATTTACTTGTTGATTTCTTTATTGCTAGTTATGGTTAACACAGAAAACTGCAGAACTTTTTACTGATTCAAGAAAATTCAAGGTGAAGAGCTGACATGTTTTAAAGGTGCCTTGTAGTCAGTGCCTTTAGACTCTTAAAAGGACTAGATCTGATAAACCTGTTTTCAGGGGAAGAATTGGTGAAGAAAACATGCTTCATTCTGAGGACATCACTCTCCCTTGCTGGCACAGACAGCCAGGGTCGTCAGTGGCCAGTAAGGACAAAAATAGACAGCTCCATGACCTAGCTTTGACATAAGTGGATTGGTCAGCAAGTGTTCTTTTAGGGAAGGTAAGCAGTTACCTGAAGTATCATTTTCCACAAGTTTATAATTAGGAGATGCCCACCTGCCATAGGGCTTGCCTGGTGGCTCAGATGGAAAACAATCTGCCTGCAGTGCGAGAGACCCAGGTTCAATCACCGGGTTGGGAAAATCCCCTGGAGAAGGGAATGGCATCCCACTTCAGTATTCTTGCCTGGAGAATCCTATGGACAGAGGAGCCTGGCAGGCTACAGTCCATGGGGTTGCAAAGTCATGTCAGACTTGACACAACTAGTGACTAACACTACTACTACTGCTTACCATAGGATATGATAAGCTTGGAATCTGGGCTTCCATTTGAACTGTGCGACTGGCAGAAAGCCCTCTGTCTGGGAAGTATAATGTGGAGCCCACCACATACCAGGCTGGGTAGCAGGCATTTTTACAGACGGCAACCACAGCAAAGGGAACTTAGTGTCCACCCCAGGAGGCAAAAGCCTGCCTCTCAGCTGGAATATGCCCCCAAGCTACTGAAACAGTGCTCCTCCTTCCATCCCAGTTTTCAAAAACATGACTCATAACTGAAGCACCTTATTACCACAGTCATCACTCAGATACACAAATCTGCATCTGCCTGTTCAGACTTGAATTCAGATGCACCAGGTGTCAAAAACCAGCCAAAAGCAGAGCCAGGAGCTCTCTTATATGTTAAATCTAGTTTCAAGTTCTAAGGATTTCAAACCACACAAAGATACCAGGCCCTCGGGCTCTGATCGCAGGCTGTAGCAGGCAAACTTTGAAATCATCACATAAGAGCAACTTCACGCTTAAAATAATGAAATGCTTCGCATGTTTTCCCCAGGCACCAGAGAACAGGCTGAGACCGTCAATGTTTTTGTTTTTTGTTTTTTTTTTTAAGTTTGCCTTCGGACTGTACACACACAGAGTCTCCGTGTGGCCATTCAAAGTCAGATCTCTGCCATTTAGAAAGAACTTGGAACTGCTTTGGCCCTGGGCTCAGACAGGAAGGGTGGGGTGACTTTTGCCCAAGTTAAGCTGTTGTACTTTGAATAAACTGATCCAAAATAAAGTTTACAAGCTTTCTAATTAAAGAACTCACTATTTAGCAGGTAGAAAGAAACCATTTCACTAGCAAAGAAAAGGCTGAGCACATGGTTTTCACTGAGCCTGTGCCTACCTCTCCATCCTCCAGCTCCACGTCTAGGAAGTCAAAGTCTCTGAAGACCCGGAACTGCTGCTCGCTGTTGGTGTCATCCATGTTCTCCTGCTCGCGGGCCCCGTCCTCAGACGACACCAGGCTCGTCTGATGCTCCAGCAGGTCCAGGTCCCCGCACGACGAGAAGATCACCTGTGAACCGAGAGGGCTCTCCTGAGAAACCGCTCTCCCTTCGCTGGTTTGAGCTACAGAACCCGTAACTGGCTCCTCGTAGCACTGTATTTCCAGTACACACCTAATTCCTTAAGTGGGTATTTTTAGAATGTTCTTTTATTATTTATGTTGGACAGGTGCCTTCAGATTAAACTCGTTGCAAAGATGCAAGTTCATGTACTAGGAAAATGTTCGAGTCAAATAGTTGCTTCTGAATGAAGACGATCCTACATGTGTGTGTGTGTTTCAGCTGAGCGTGTCTGTGTTCACAGAGTCTACAGCAGCCAAGAAATTTTCCATTGTTTCTACACTGACTGAGGTTACAAACTGTATAGATTCACACACACATGCACATCACATACATATTATCATATAAGATTTTAAGGACTCCTGATGCCAACAAGATATGTTACTATAGAATAAACTGTGAGAGCAAAGGATTTAACCCTTTGAGAGAGAAACCAGGAACTGGTAAAGAAAAAGAAACCTAAGTCAAGAAGTACAGAACTTGTTCATTTGAATTAGAGAAGAGAAGCTGAGCAGCCGTGTTCAGAATTCACACTTAAATTCCTGTCCTGTTTATTTAAACAGAACTTTTTTTTCTATTAAAATTTTAATATGTCAGCATTTTAAAATTATATTGTTTAGGTTCATTTTTCTTGGGCCATTTTAATATAACTTCTCAGGAATAATAGACTTGAAATAAATCTAAATGTTTTGCTATGCAGCCTCTCCTGAACATTGACATTAAACAAAATGAACAGTGTTCTTTTAATTTAACCATTATAACCTCTTGGTCTTCCTTGAAAGTAAAAATTCATAAGAATTTAAATATAACAGTTGTCTCTCAACAGGAAAAAGTAAATGGATTTTAAATATACTTTTTTTTTTTCTCCAGTGTTTTAAGAACAGTCATAGGATTTGCAGTAGGTTTTTATAAAATGGCACAACACACCATCTGTACCGGGATTGCAAATGGGTCCACGAGATAAATAGCGCTGAGGACCAGCCACCTAGTCGGGGAGATGAGAGATGAAGATTCTTTTTTTTTAATTGGAGTATAGCTGCTTTATAATGCTGTGTTAGCTTCTACTGCACAGCAGAGTGAATCAGTTCTATGTGTGTATATCCCCTCTTTAGATCCCCTTCCCACTAGGTGAGGACAGAGCACTGAGTGGACTTCCCTGTGCTATACCGGAGGTTCTCATTAGTCATCTGTCAGTATTTTATACATAGTATCCATAGTGTTCAGTTCAGTCGCTCAGTCCTATCAGACTCTTTGCAACGCTAAGCCTCCCTGTCCATCACCAACTCCCGGAGTTCACTCAAACCCATGTCCATCGAGTCGCTGATCAATAGTGTATATGTTGTCAATCCCAATTTCCCAGTTCATCCCACCCGTCCTTCTGCTGCTTGGTATCCATATTTGTTCCTACTTTCTGTGTCTCTGCGTCTGCTTTGCAAATAAGTTCACCTGTACCATTTTTCTATGTTCCACATAAAACTGGTATTTATGGTATTTGTTCTTCTCTTTCTGACTGACTTCACTGTATGACAGTCTCAAGGTCCATCCACGAAGAGACCAGCACTCTGATTTCCTCAGCTGAGTGCTCCCTTTCCTAGCTAGTGCGGCTTTTCTTATTCGTAACACAGTAAACAATTCTAGTTTGAAAGGCCACAGCACAGAAGCAGGCAGTTGGGGTCTGAAGGGGAGAGTGTAACCACAGGGGCGGAGAGAAACGGCCCCGCTGGCTGTGCTGCTGTGGAGATAAAGGCTGCCATTCCCCCCCTGGGGCTGGGAGGCTGTCATCATCCCTGGTCCCTCTGCCCTCTGCCTGATGTCACAGGAGCAGTAGCAAACCCACCAACCAGCAACTTGGAAGGTGACTTCAAAGGAGGCAATGCTGCTTGCTAGAGCACATTCCAGGAGGATAGTAAGTATCAGCCTTTACTCTAGGTACCTATGAGTCTCTCATATTTCACCCAGTCATGAACTACATTAGCATATACATTTTGGAATTTTAAAAGAAACTCCCCAGAGAAACCATTTGCTGGTTCTGACTTTACTTGAGAAATAACTTGGTTTGCGGTCTTTTCTGGTTACTAATAAAGATGCTACAATACAGGTGAAATAAAAATACCTGGCAAAACCAAACCTTTTGCTGCAGTGTTCTCACACACAATTTTCTAAATTTTTAAAAAAGCTTCAGAAGTTAACTTCTGGTACTTTAGTTATTCATTTTATTTCAAAGCCCAATGGTATATATTTTTTTCCAACTGTAATATCAATAGAAGTTTATGCAAGAAAAAAACAGCACTGTTCTCACCTTTACATGAGTAAAATAGTGACATCATGTTAAGAAATGTGTGTACAGAGTAAAATTATATACAGTATATACATATACTGTGTCATGTGCAGTAGTGCAGGAGACAGTCACATATACCTGTTTTAGGAAAGTCTGGGTATATTCTTTAAAAAAGATACTAAAAAATAATTGAGTT